TATCTTAGGATATAAAATTTAAATAGATTTTTTTTCTCTGTAAGGATTTCCTTTTCATTATAGAAGAATCAAATTAATTTTTAATTAAGTTAGAGACATGGTCTCACCATTAATATTCAAAAAAAAAAAAATGAATAGCAGAATTAAGTTCTCGAATCTTAATAGTTTGAGTATAATAAAAATTTTTTTTTTTAAAAAAAAAAAGGTTTTGCAAAGTTCATACTAATACCTTACGAACATCTTCCTCTATTTTAGCTAGAGCCACCCTTGCAGCCAAATTAAGAATATGGTTAAAGCACCAGAATCTAAGTTGTTCAGAGTCCTATTCTAAATTTTCTTCTTTTAACTTTATAGACAATTCATGAACAAAAGTACCATTATTTGAAGCGTTATCTAAGTTAATAGCAAGAAACTTCCAGGAAAAAAAAAGTAAGAATATTTTTTTGCATAAATTAAAGCTGAGCTAAGCATAAAACGAATTCGGTTTATGCTAGTTTAGCATAAGTTGAATTATTTAATGTTAAGTTTAGCATAATATAAATTTGGCTTTATGCTAATCTTAGTATAAAGCCAAATTCATTTATGCTAAACTTAATATTAAATAAATTTGGCTTATGCTAAGCTAGTATAAAGCAAATTTATTTTATGCTAAGCTTAGATAAAGCAAAATTTATATAAATACCTTTGATGTAATTTTATAATCTTTTAATACTTTAAAAAATCTATTAGAAAGATTCATTCCATCATGATGTCCACTTAATAACCCAAAGTTAATTAATATTTCTTGAAAGGTCCAATTGTCATCTATATAATAAGCTATAGCAAAAATAAAGGCCTTGTTGTTAGGGGATGTCCAAAGGTCCAATATAAAGAAAATTCTAGAATTTATAGCAGAAAAGTATGTCTATAGCACTGTGAATAATAAATAGATATATATAAAATATAAATAAAATAAAATAGCTTCAATCAAATAAAAATAATAAATAAATCATTTTAAATAAATAACTCTAATTAAATAAAAATAATAAATAAATAATTTAAATAAATAAATTAAAAATATCAATAAATAAATAATTTAAAAATATAATTTGATAGAATTTGTAAAAAAAATAAATATATAAACTTATACAATAAGCTTTTCAATTAAATTTAATATGATATATTGATATAGTACATTATACTGTTATGATATAAAAATATAAATATTAATATTTAATAAAATATTTCACTGGTGCTCTAGGTTCCCAAGGTTAAATTAAAATAAATTAAAAAAAACAAAAATAAAATAAAAAAAATAGAAAAAAAAGAATTAAATTAAAAAATAACAATTGTAAGCTTGCTTTTAACTCCTTTTTTCCTGAATCATAATGTAATATTATTGCTTCTTTAATTGTATCAGCTTTAACTAACTGTGCTGCAAGATTCAAATATTTTATAATTTCAATTAATTCAGGGTCTTCAATAATATTAAATGGGCGTTTACGATTAATAATTCAGGCAGAAAACATATTATGAAGCTTTATATTATCAATATTAACCAATATTTGGTCTTTAGGATTCTATACAATATTAGATTAACTTAAAATTAATAATAATAAATCAATAAAAAAAAATAAAAAAGGAAAGAACTAACTAGGGTTCTTAAGTGCCAGATATGATACTATTAAAATATAATACCTGTACCAGGCATTATGTTTTAATAGTATCATGCCTAGCACTTGCAGAACTCTAAAGCTAACCTTTCTAAACACATCTTCTACAGTACCACATTCACTTTGTGTCTTTCTTTTTTTTTTATTAAATTCTTCTGTCATGACATACTGGGTCCAGTGCACACTTTTCAAGTAGCGCTATAGTGGCTTGGTGGTGCCTCTCTTTTCACAAGAAAACTTATCATATTTGCACTTTGATACTTTATATTTAGCCATTTTTTTTTCTTTTGCTACACAACCTTTCTAAAAAAATCTACAACTCACTTCCATTACTTCGCTTGCTAGTTGTACTACAATTATCATCAGTATCATTACTATAGTCATTACCATGGTTATTACTATGATCATTATCATAGGTATTACCATAATCATTATTATAGGCATTACTATGGTCATTATAGGAGATGTTCGATGTAACTTTTTCTAATTCTATAGATATAAAACTTATTCGTTAGCTAATTTTTTTTTCTTACTTAACCTGATCTAATTCATTTCTCTAAAAATAATTGCCTTTTAAATTATTTAAATAATTGCTTTTTAAATTATTTAAATAATTGCCTTTTAAATTATTTAAATAATTGCCTTTTTAAATTATTTAAATAATTGCCTTTTAAATTATTTAAATTATCATGATCAATATTATACTAATTATCATTATCATAATAAAAAATATACTTATCAATCTTTTTAATATGCAATATAGTTGTTGACTAAATAAGAGAAAAGTATGTAAGTTAAATCTCTATTTATAAGATAGTACAGGTTATAAAGTTTATCATTATTATAATTATAAAATATACTTATCTTTTTAATATGCAATACAGTTGTTGACTAAATAAGAGAAAAGTATGTAAGTTAAAGCTCTATTTATATGATAGTACAGGTTATAAAGTTTATCATTATTATAATTATAAAATATACTTATCTTTTTAATATGCAATATAGTATATTGACTAAATAAGAGAAAAGTGTATAAGTTAAAGCTCTATTTATATGATAGTATGGGTTATAGTTTATTAGACTCAATTCTTGAAAAGTTTTCAGAAATTAAGTCTGCTAAACTTTATACTGCAAAACATTTTTTTTTAATATTTCATATTCGAACCTGAACTTGTTCATGAACTTCGAACCGAATCTGAACCAAATTTATTACTGTGTTTGAGTCTTGTTCGGGTTCGGAAATTACAAGTTTGAGTTCAGGTTTAGGTTTGAAGTTAGTAAAATTTACTGTTCGAGTTTAGTTCGAGTTCAGGTTCGACCTGAATCGAACTGAACCCAAACTGAACATAGGGACCCTAATGAGTAGTCTAGTCATAAAAATGCTATTGAATGTGCTGTTTAATAAGAGTTGGTTTAGTAATAATTGATCTGGTAATTTAATGTTTAAGAAATATATCTGAGGCTTAATAGCAATTAAGAATACTATTGATAGCATGTGTAGGCTTGCTGACAAGAGTCTCACATCTCTTCTCAGAAGCTTATTGGATTTGTTGACAGAGAAGAAGAGAGTTTTCAGTATGGCATGCTTGGTATAGTTGGTACCATATATCCTGAACATGATTTATCTATTCTAGAATTTGGGCAGAATCTGAACTTAGAAGAGTTTGGAGGTTACATTAAGATCATGAGTTAATATTCTGAATTTGTGAGTTAACTAAAGAGATATCTAAGGTTGTATTAATATTTTTAAGATTTTTAATTAGATGTTTGAGTTTTTTAAGAGACAGATATAGTTGTATGCTATTTGTGATTATAGCTACGTTTATAGCTGATTTTGTTTAGAATAGTTGATATAGCAGTATTTATAATAGAATATTTAATCTTATACCATATAGTATCGATACTTTTAGAGATTTGTAGTGATAGAGGTATTTGATATAGATTGAGTTTTGTTGTAAGGAGATTAGAAAACTTAGACCAA